TTGTTGTTGAGAATGTAACACTGCAAAAACATACACCAGTTCAACAATTTCTACACGTGCAAGTCAGTGACATTGATTAAATTTGAGAGTTGTTCAACCACTCTCACCCTCCTTGTCCATGCTGTTCCTGTCCCATTAGCACAACTCCACCGCCCCCTAAGTCTCCTGCCTCGTCTTTCGAGTTGCTGTTGCCAGTTTGATTCCACATCAATAGATCTTGCAAGAGCACAGTGCCCAAGGCAGGTGTTCTTCTAGTTCAGCTAAGCTACTGTTTGGTTTTAAGAAGACGTCAGGGGATGTTTTTGGTTTAAGGTTCAAAGATTATCTCAGGGCAATAGTTTCAGGGGTTCACTCAGCTTCCATGGCTTCAGAAATTCTGGAGGCCATGAGAATTTGAAATTCTGTTCTGCATTTCCCCACCTTTTGATCAGATTCTTTCCTAGAATCTTATCAAAATGTTCAGTAATGACAGCCAGGCACCATTCTGTCTCATGGCAAAGGAGGCAGCTGTTCATGGAGGCATTAGCCACACATCGCATGTTCTCCTCCTCTTCCTGACCCCCCTTCTTCCTCTATTACTCCAAGCAATTAGAGACCATATCTTCTCCAGTCAATTTATTCATGAGAGGCGGGATAGCATAGAATTTGAGAACACAGACACAGGGGTCAGTTTGAATCCCACTTCTATCATTTCTTGCTAATTATCTGGTAACAAAATAGTAGAAAGCCAACTTTTTGCATATCCACATGCACAGGGTAAAAGCTTTGCAAAATTATTACTGGTCTTTGAACCCTATCAGGGGAACAGGAGCTGGTGGTGAACGGTCCTGACTTTATAATTAAATCCAAAGTTATTTAACCCCTCTGGACCTCACTTTCATCTATAAAATGGGGATAAGATTATCTCATAGGATTGCTGTTAGGACTATATGTGTTAATATAGATAAAGCATTTAGAACAGTTCCAGGCATACAGTAAGCATTCGATAAATATTGTTGTTGTTGTTATATGCCATCGAGTCGGACCCGACTCATGGCGACCCCTCCTTGGGTTTCCGAGGCAGTATCACTACGGAAGTAGATTGCCCCATCTTTTTAAATATTAGCCATTATTATTTATGGTACCTGCCTGGCCCCATCTACACATTTGAGTTTGCAACCCAGCTTTAAGGATTCTGGAATAATGAAAGAATACTCCTATCCAATTGGGAGGATAATTTGACTTCCATAAAAATTATACTGGGAGGCTGTGGACTTCCTATCCCAGGAGAGAGGAGAGGTGGATCCATTGAATTTCCCTTGCCAGTAGGAGAAACCCACCCCTTACAGTCTTTGAATAAGCTGAGCTTTACCCGACCAAACCAGTTACTCATCAATATGCAAATAAGATTGTCTCGTCTGGCCAAGATTTGCCTAAACTGGAGAAAAGACCAAAGCTCTTTGTGGTAAGAGAAATTCTGAATTTCTTGTCTTAGCAGCGGACCCTAAAAGATGCTGGCAGACTCATCAGCACCACCCAGGGCCAGGGTGTTTCCCCAGCCCTGATGCCACTCCCCTCTCACTACACCTTTGAAGGAAATTCCCTTGGCTCCAATCAAGAGGTGAAACTGGACCGGATCAAGGGTGTCAGTGATGGTCCTCAAACATCTATACACAAGCCACTTAGAGGGGAAGAAAAACATCCCTCCTCAACTCTCCACCCTATGCTGAGTGGTGGCACAATGGTTACGTATTCAACTGCTAACCAACAGGTTGACTGTTTGAACCCACCAGCTGCTCTGCAAGAGAAAGATGTAGCAATCTGCTTCCATAAAACTTACAGCCTTGGAAACCCTCCTATGGGGCAGTTTTACTCTGTCCTATATGGTCACAATGAGTCACAATCGACTCCAAAGCAACAGGTTTGGGTGTTTTTGTTTGGTTGGTTGGCTTG